CCACTGTCCCGGAGCTTCCGTATGAGGATGTTGTGGGAGACAGTGTCAAAAGCCTTGCTGAAGTCAAGGTAGACAACATCCACGGCTCTCCCCTCGTCCAGCCAGCCTGTCACCCCATCATAGAAGGCTATGAGGTTTGTCAGACATGACTTCCCCTTGGTGAATCCATGCTGCCTGCTCCTCAACAGCTTCTTCTCCTCCATATGCCTGGAGATTCTCTCTAGGATGAACCGCTCCATCACCTTTCCAGGGACGGAGGTGAGGCTGACCGGCCTGTAATTGCCCGGCTCCTCCCTCTTGCCCTTTTTGAAGRCTGGAGTGACGTTGGCTCTCTTCCAGTCCTCGGGCACCTCCCCTGCTCTCCAGGACCTCTCAGAGATGATGGASAGMGGCTGAGCRATAACCTCGGCCAGTTCCCTCAGCACTCTTGGGTGCATCCCATCTAAATCCCATCCAACACTAAATTTGATTAAAGCTGATTCCTTCCAAGTTTATTTATTTATTGAGCAGATGAATTTTAAATGACAAAAATAAGAACATGGATACTATCATCTCAGAGCCTTCAATACTATTGTAAAGAAGAACTATTCAAGAGCTGCATAAGGTAAACTAATGCTCAAGTAAAAGAGAAAAGTCAAAATAAGTCATTATGGAACTTCACATGTTCCCTTTTCATACAAACCAAAGCGAGGGTGACCGCTGCGGGTTTGAGGTCGTGTCTGATGGCAGGCAGGATGTGCATCCTTCTCTGACGCACAGCTCGGAGCGGTGCAGACTTGAGTAAAACCTTGATATCCAACTCCCAAATTATTACGTCTACACTCGCTAATTTGGACGAAACAACCTCCTCTAGATAGAAACATCCCAAATCTTAGTACAGCTACATTAAGTTAGTGCATGAAAATATTTACCCACAATACAAGCTTTAGCGAAGTTGTAACATCAGAAATAACATCCCTTTTACCACATGTAAGCACACAGTTTTTGTACATGCYGAGTGTGCTGAAACATAAAAGAAAACCACCACAAGAAAGGAAAAYTGGAATGTTTAAACGCAATGTTTTCACTCAGGACTGATACTTAGCAAAGGCAAGACAGGAGACATTGGGAGAGGTGCTCCATAGCACTGGGATTCTTCTGCCCTACAAGACCTTGGCTGTTCAGGCTGTAACTCACAGCATCTGTGCTGTCCCGCTCACTAGCATCTTCTGAAGGGACCTTCAAGGAGCAGAACAACAAGGGGATAACCTGGCCAGATTGTGTTTCTTAGACTAAACAGCTTTACATATCATTATGAGCAGAAAACAAAGGATTACCTGGGGATATTATATAGAAGAAGTCTTTAAACTCGTCCATCCAGACCTCGGCGAGCCTGCGGTTGTTCTTGTTGATGACGTGGCCCGTGCCGCCGGGGAAGGTGTACGGCGTCGCCTTGCGGAACACGTGGCCCACGTGCGAGCACGTCACGATCTCGAGGGAGCCGCCGCACTGCCAAACCTGAAACGGGAGCGCGCCGGGAAGCGTGAGCGAGGCACACGCGACACGCGCACAGGCAGCAGCGGGAAGGACTCTGTCTCGCTGCAAATTAGCTGGTGTCTCCCGAGTTATTTCCCCGGGGCAAAAGCCAATGGGGAACGCAAAGCAAAAGTTTCAGGCAAACAGTAAACAGCTGGTAATAAAAGTGCATGGGCTTTAATTACAGTATGAAAGCTTATGGAATCACGGACACCATTATGGAATGGTGTACTTGGCTATATGGCCTTACAACATAAACATGCCCAATTTTAGAAAGTTGTAATCCTGTAACAGATCGTTACAAGTGATACTTATGCTGCCCATGCATTTGAAATTTTGAGCAATTCCTAATATTTAAAAAATAGAGATGTGCATTTACTTTTTTTTTTCCTCTTTTTTTTTTTTTTTTTTTTAATCAGTAGCATGTTTGGGGCCATTCTGAGCAAGGTGCCACAGACCTGAGTTAATATTAGAGACAGAAACATATGCAGAGGAAGCAGCACAGAAACTTCGAACATCACAGAGCTACAGAAGCGAAATGCAAATGCAGGATCTCTGCTCGCTGGCTCACACGCCAGGTGAGTAGCATGGGCTACTACAAAAACAAGTTTTACGTAAAGAGGAGAATTTGAAGAACTTTTCCCAGGTGCAAATTCTCCCTTAGCACTACCGGAGCCAAAATCTACGCTCCAAGTAAGCCCAGTGCCTTCAGTATAACTGTGTTAGTATAAGCAATCACATAATCCCAAATTTTAACACCCTGTTGTTTAATGAAGCAACAGTGAGGTTTTCCTGCTAGATCACTGCAGTCTTGGCAGCACACAGAGCATCCCGCACTGCACGCTGCATGGTGCCTACATCCTCCTTTCCAGGACCACCTCTAGAAATGCCAGTGAGGGCAGATAACTCCCTTGCTCCCAGCGATCAACACCAAACGTTATTAATTTTAAGTGTTTAAGTGTCTAGGCATCCCTCTGTTCAGCCCACGCGGCACCAGCTGCTGGAGACACCAGTGGAGAGGCCCCGGATGCTGCAGTGGCTCCTGCAGCGCCGATGAAGACAATGCAACGACCAGTGATGACCAGCTGCAAAGGCGGCTGGGCCTTCACCTGCGCTACGGGCACGAGCCAGGGCTCCCAGGAGACACCTCCAGGGCTCTGCTGTTCGGCCGGATAATGCCTGGCTTTGGGATTCATTTGGGATTCATTCTTTGAGATTCGTTCTTCCAACTCCCTGTTTAGGTTCATGCCACCCTTTGCCCTGGTCCTCCTTCTGCATGGGCAGGACTAGCATACACAGCACATCAGCCTRAGAACAAACACGGCAGAGGAACCGGTACCGTAAACCTGAGAGCTGTGGCACTGCTTTAAGCAGACCTCCTTGCAACACACGTAGCAGTTGCCATAGAAACTTAATGCACATTTTATTTAATTAGGGATAAACCCTTTTATATAATTTCATTAGCATGCTAGGTGACGTGCTCTGTGGGGATAAACAAAGCCAGCATCAAAATATCCCTGTGCTTAAGAGCCTGTGCTGTGCACKTCAGCAGCACTCGGCGGTCCAGGGGAAACTTGGCCCTGGTGCTCGCCAAGGAGCGCACGTTTGTCCTGGAACGGGGACACGCAGGAGAACTGGGGCACAGGCACCCGGCCCCGCTTCCCCAGCCGCCCCCACGCGCAGGAAATTCCTCCCGCTGAAGCTTATTTTTAAATGCACGCCCCTCGGCACCTTTCTGAGGCACAATTCTGTCTGCCCTTGGGACCATCTGCTGCTACGCTCGCCACGGGAACGCCGATGAACTGTGCTGCTTCCTCTGAGCATTAACAGGAATCCCTTTYGAATGCTCACTGCTAAAGCATCTATTTTCAGGAGTTCATATAGCTGTGAACGATTACTGAATTTGTTCACGATGCAGACAGGCTGTAACACAGTCATACATTTGCTGACTGTTCGCTGCAAGTACACTCAATACTCAATTTGTCCCTGATACTTCAATATGAAATGGGCATCACAGGAAACGTATCTCAGTCTCTCAATCCAGACATTCAACATTCATCAGTAGCTTTTCCTGACCCTGTGGCTGCTCCTGGTAAGTCACAAAGGCAACAGAAACCGCTATGAAACTTCATTCCAGTCTTTTCTCCTTTYAGCATTCATGGCATTTTTTTACTCCAGCAAAATTTCTTTGGAAAGAAATTGCTCGATCTTTTCAAGGAATTACATATCCCATCTTTTCTCTGACGTGCCTGGATATTTTAAACACAGCAGTGACTTGATGAATCCCTGCTCCATGGAGTGCTCCCAGCTAGCTGGTTACCTCTCCCTGGAGCACCAGGGCGCCCCGCTCCACGAGCCCCCGAGGAGGGAGGGCAGGGCTGGGGGCTCGGCCCCACACACAGCAGCACCCTGGGCTGTGGGTCCTGCCGCCAAAGCCATGGGGGCCCCTGCACCCCTCCCCGCCACAGACCTCCCCAAGCTGCCAGCTCTAATTCACGCGCTGGATTAGTCATGAAGAAGTTACTGTCACGTGATAAGTATGGGCATTGACGGTATATTCCCTGCTGTTCATCCCTTCTCCTCCTACCTAAATGCACTCGCAAAAATCAGGTATTTTAAAAATCACCGTATTAAATCAAGCAATCAAAGCTCTGCTAGTTTCCAGCTGGGGGCAACCCCCCCATCCTGGCAGTTCCCGRCCCCTCCTCTGGCCCGGGGAGCCAGGCAATGCAAGCCTTGAAACCCAGGCCCTCCTGCCCCGCAGACACGTCCAGCTCCTGCCCTACACCGTGTCCCCACCACTCGTTCCCTGCTCTGCTGCTCCATCATCCCACGAGCGCTGCTCAAATCCCCCAACTTATTCAGATGCTTCAAACCCTTCTCTACACTGATGAGATYTTCCATCTCAGCAGCTTCTAGCTGCTTAGTCCCCATCTTTTGTGAACGGGCACTCAGKGACAAAACCAAACTGTAGAGCCGACAGCCACCTGCCTCCTCCAGCACGAGCCATGTTCCTCCCACCCAGCCCATACCAACCTCCAGCATCTCCTGATTCTGGAGACAATTCCCAGCGCGTCCCTCACCGAGACGTCCCGGTGACAAACAGCATCAGTAGCTCTGCCACGTTTCCCCGCTCTGGGAAACGAGCTCTCCAATCCAGCCATTTCATTCTTTACCTTCTGCAAGCCCATGCCAGAATATAACCCATTTTCTATTTATCCTTCTGCTTACAAATACTAATCCCTTCAAAACTCATGCCAAGACACTGCACCACAAAACTTACTCCTTTTTAAGTGCAGACATTAATCACACCCTACCAGAAATGCCCCCTGCTCCAGGGCTCTGCCTACCCGCTGGGTGCAATCGTGCCCTTGCCATCATTTCTGAACACTAAGCCACAGCCAGTCCCTGCAAACCTGTCGGCTGGCAATCCCTGCAGTGAGGGACGTGCCGGGGTGCAGCCCTCGGCATCGCTCCAGATGGGTCCTACACCCGGCTCCCCCTTCTTGCCTCCTTCTGACCCATCTAAAAGGCACCCTACAACCTGACCCCGCTCTGGCCCACACTTTCTGTTCCTGGGTTCAGCAGCACCACCGCCCGCCCTGCTTGGGCTGCGCTGCATCCCGCATCCCTGGACGCTGCATCCCGCATCCCTGGACGCTGCATCCCGCATCCCTGGACGCTGCATCCCGCATCCCTGGACGCTGCATCCTGCATCCCTGGACGCTGCATCCTGCATCCCTGGACGCTGCATCCCGCATCCCTGGACGCTGCATCCCCAGCAGTTACCATGGACACCTGGAGCCGTTTGGCAAGGACACTTCTGCCTCATTGCCTTGTTCTTGGGGGTGAATTGCCACGCAAGCTCCTTCCAGGGCAGAGAAAAGCAAAGCCAAACTCAAACAAAATACACTACCTTCTGAAATCTTAGGTCAAAACAAAACTAAAAATTTAGGTTGAAGAGAAACAATTGCTTTTGCTGTTTGTATTATATGTTAATGATTTTATATATTTCATTTTAGAAAATAAATATCCCTTTACATAGAAGCTTTTTTTCTTCCCAGTGTGCATACTGGTGGTGCTGCTGGATTAAACRGCTCTCACATGCAACAAGCACAGGCTCAGGCTGCAGCCGAATCCCCAAGGATCCCTGCAGTCACTAAGCTACACGAGTTGCACTTCTTTACTGTTATCCAGTAATGCCCAAGTAATATTTAGGTAAAAAAAGCCCTGAAAACTCCAGCACAAAAGATCTCTATAATGAAATTGTGAAGTGTTCTATCTTGAATAATTTCCTCTACAAAAATTTTTACACATAAAAATACTCAGCCCGAAGAAAGGGGAAAATGTATGCCTTAATTTGAAGCATACCAACCTATTCTAAATACATTTCCCAAGCGAACTGTGCTCTCAAATTTAATCAATACAGCCAAACAYCTGAAGAGTACTGAAAAACAGAGGTACGTTTTCAATCCGGGCATTTGGCAGGTGACTAGAGATTTATACAGCCAGAATCTGCTCAGAAACACCCAGAATCATTTTCAACGTTACAACACGGTTCTGAAAATGAATCCTGTGTGCGTGCAACCTTGCCGGCCTTGTTCAGCCTTACTCTGGGTTACAGCCATGCCCAAACTTACCAGCGCRGCTCCTTCTAGACATGTAAATCAATGCTCACGCTAGAAATGTTTCCTCAGGCATTTTTAAATGCTCTATTATACCTACAATTTTGCAGCTGAAAATTGAGACAATACATAACGTCAAGCTAAAAATTTGATATTARGAATCTAAATATCCTCCGTGTGCGTGGGAAGGCTTCATGCATGCTATTGTGCATGGCAGCAGTGAGCACGGAGGGCGGCGAGGGCTGCTGCACTCGGGCTCTGCCTYGTCTCCGTGCAGCGAGAGCCCGTCCTGCTGCCCAGCACGGAGCCGGCAGAACCTGCACGTCCTTCACACGGCCTGGGGGTTTCCTGAGGACACAACACTGCATTACGCTGCATAAATGAATTAAGCATTAAGCATTGCCCGTTATTTGTTAACTCAATTTTTCAACAGTCAAAACAAATTTAAAGGACTCTAAAAGACAGATCAGTACCCTACCCTAACTAGGGAGGGTAGAGGGACACAGGGACACCCTCGTCTGCACTCCCAGCATGAGCTGGACAGGGACTGAACAGCCTCAGACTCCTGTCAGAGGCTGTGCCAGGTTTCTGCAGCCTCATTTCAGCCGTTCTCCTACAGAACAAATTTTCTTTCTGATTGACAGATTACATTTAATGTCCAGTCCCACGCAGGCTCCTTCCACAACACTAAGTGCTCTGGGAACTCTCTGACTGGGGAAAAAGCACTTAGAGATTAAACAGAAGATGAAAATTGCCTAAAGAATTCTAAAAAGTTTAGGGCTTTTGAWTCTCTCCTAAAGTCATTTTCTGGTATGGTTAAAAAGCAAAGAATTTTACATAAATTGCTGTAAAACACCTATTTCGGGCAAAATTTGTATTTAAAAGAAGGGGAAAAAATGTTTCTGAAGCTGTACGAGACTGAGTTCTACGTCTCGCGCAGTCCCTGCAGACGGGGCGCTGAGCGGAGGACGCAGGAGGCACCCCTGAGCACAGCAGCTCTGCTCTTTGCATGCACGGTGAGCTTCTGCAGGGGATTCCTGAGCACTTGGTCAAACTGGAGAGACCAAGGAGAGCTGGGCAGCGCGCAGCCCTGCTGCTGAGGGATGGAGCGTGGCTTTACCAGGAGGAGGGGACCTGGACATGGAAGCACCCATTGCAGCATCGCTGGGAGCTGCATGGCCGTGCAGAGGTGCTCACCCAAGGAGACATTCCAGCAAGCTTCCTGGGTAACTGTATGTCCATAAGATGATTGCCAGAGGAATGAGACTGCTCCGTGATACTCTTCAGCCTGACTAAAGACTGAACAAATGATGCAAATTTTCTGGAGTTTGTAAAAAATGCCCTTATCTACCACCACTACCCTGATGATAATGCTTCCTTAATATTTAACATGTCTTTTGCTTTAGAAACCAAGAGTCGCAGCCTTGACTTCTAACAACTTTTGCATTTTAAGAGCAGGCAAGCAAGCACTATTTAATATAAAGTGTCACCTATATCCTGCTCTGGATTACTTCACTATCGCAGTATTATTACAACATTACAATAATGCTGTTATTTTGCTGAGGTGGATCTAAGAACACCCAACATCAGCAAGAGTAAATAGCATATGCATGGATTAACAGATTGACAGAATCATTACTTGAGTGATGGTCAGCTAAGGAAACAAAACCCTTCCACACAAGGGCCTYCGTGGTTAGGAATTATCGCTGCTAGAACATACATGACTAAACTATGAAATAATTTTACTTTTTACTCAGCTGGATTTTGATTTTGTCTTAGCACATCCACTAYTGCAATGACTTTTGGCTTATAAAGACCTAGGACAGAAATTCTTTGGGCTTCACTGAACAAGCCTAGCTGGACTCCCTCAGCCGAGCRTTTGACAAGTGTGTAATGACCACATAGCGGGGGACTGAACCCCACGGATAGCTGGAATTCTTCTGCACCATTTTAGAAAAGAATAAAATATATGCTAAGACATAAGAGGAGGAGATAATGATGGATACATAGTCGAGGAGAAAGCCAAACACTTAAAAATAAACAGGCACCATAAAAAGCTAAGAGCTCAGGTGCATCACAGTGGGTGAGCTGGGTCTGAGTTGCCCACGCTGCGGTCTTTGCACTGACACAGGAGGATCCACGTGAGTCTGAACGGAACCTGCCTGTCCCCTGCGGCAGTGTGGAGGGGGCCAAACTGGTGACCGATTCAGCACCTTTGACTTGGCGTTTGGTTTGTTTTAAATACTAACATTAGAGCCTTAMATACTAAGGTTCTAAATGCTAAGAAACAGCACAGTGCAGATGGCTTCCATTTCCATGGAAATCTCCCTGCGCTGAAAACGCATCATTTTATTTCTATTCTTGATACCATGCCCTCTTATTCGTCTGATGCATGCTTTTCAAGCTGGTAATGCTTCTTGAAGCCTCAGTGGGAAGGTCTCCTGAAGTGAGACACAAGTGGTGTGAAGCCCATGTGAAGCCCAAAGAGCTGCTCACAAGATTCCTAAGCTGTTCCTAACCGCGTCCTAAGCTGTTCCTAACCGCGTGCTGGCTCTAAGGAGCTCAGGAAGCAGAACCGCAGAGGCGGCTGCACGGAGCACACGGCTGCTCTCCACCTCGCTCTTCGCCCACGCTCTGGACAGGCTCTTTAGGGTGCTGCTGGAATCCACATCTCCAGAGAACACCCTGCCCAAACATGCGCACGCTAAGCCACACGCTGCTCCTACCTGGGCACTGGACAGAGCTCCAGCGCGGCCTGAATCAGAGCTGCAGCAACGCTCACCCAAGGGGGAAAACACAAAGTACAGCAGTCCCCAGGAAAACACCCAGCGAAACCACGGCAAACAGAGGCAGGAAACCCTGGGGCAAGGTGACAAGGGGCTGCTGGGTGAAAACATCCTTTAAACTGCCTCAGTCTACGGGGAGACCTCCCCTCGAGAGCCCTGAGGAGCTGAGCAGCTTTGGTCCCCGTGGCAGCCCCGCTGAGTTGCCCAAGCCTTCTGCTGGCCACCAAGAAAGATCTCCATCAGAGGGCTGACCATCTCCAAAAGGGTTTTCAAAATATTCCACTGGCATAAGCTAAGTAYGCGCTCCCATGCTGCTGTCAGCAGAAAGCCAAATGTTTCCAGCCATCAAGAACATATTATGCACAAGAGCGAGGAAACAGCATGGAAATGTAAATTGTTCTATTGTGCGGCATTTACAGAGCTTGACTGGAAAATTATCAATATTTGCATCTATTTTTCAAAAATACAACCACTGTCTATAGGAGTCAATAAAGGAAAAGTTTCCATATCCTCCACATAGTAGAGGATAAAACCTCATTGTGCTCTGAATAAAACCCCCTTTATTAAGATACCCAGCTCTGGTACTTCAAAACACTGCTCAGCCCTTCCTCGCTGGCTCCCGATCACTCCCGAAGGTGCAAAACCCAAACCTGATGTCAACAGGGCTGAAGGCTCAATAGGCTCCTCTTGGGGGCCTATACATATTCAACGCACACTTTAAACTCTATATGTCTAGAAATAAGGAAATCCACTGATTTAAGCATTAGCACTCAGAAAAGGTATCTCTACCCTTCTGCTTTACTGGAAGGTGGATGGTGCACAGTTTACAGAAAATGGTATGAAAATCCTTCCAAATTCTCAGTTGATTTCCTCTAGAAATATCTGCTTGACATCTTCAAAGTAGTTTTTGTCAACAGAAACTGAGTCAACAGAGGTCACCAAACCCAACCTTGAAAACAAAAGAGAAAAAAAAAGAARAAAAGAAAAAAAGAAGGATATAACCTTAATGTTGTATAGGAATGAGAGAGGCATAACAGGTTTTATTTTGTGTACTTACTTAGCATGCAAAATCTGTGATACTTTAGAGATGCTTAATGTCATTTTCAACAGCTTTTCTAATAATTAGGGTTAAACTCATTTTTCCCATTTCAATTTGTGACCAAACGACATTTAATGAATAAATTCCTTGCCCTCTAAGAGGTTTTATTCTTGGCAAAGGAAAATACCTCTCACTGACAGAAATAGCGGCACTTTTCTGCAGGATGAGGAGCTCCTTGGAGAGCCTGACTCTCGCACATGAAAAGGAATAACAATTCCAGCTAGAACTTGCAAATTCACGATGACATAATTTTGAAAGCTTCTTTTAAAACACAATTTTGGATCATTTATACTATACACATTTATACTTCACTTATGTCAGTTGGTATTTGTTAGCACAAATTCTAACTCTCAGGGAAAGCCTCAATAAAAACAAGGCAAAGAGATGTTACTAAAATTTATATTACATCAAAATGGAGCGTAAAGCTTTCCAATCAGTAATGATTTTTTTCATGCAGTAAAAATTGATCAAAACGCTACAAGGAGGCATCCCCGAGCACCTTGGGAATTTGAATTAAGCCACAACTTGCATGTTAGCTATGAAGAAAGGGCCCTGGGAACAATGTAGGCACAACCGTGTTACAGCATAACCGTGTTGGTTGACAGAAAATGAAGGAAAACAGCCATTACCCTAAAAGACATTTCAAGATTCTCGCCACCCCAGATATCCATTCCTGCATCGTAACTTCCTATCTCTTCAAAGTAGTTTCTGTCAATAGAAAATAGGCCACCAGCCATAGTAGGGGTCCTAGTTGAAAACAAACAGAAAAAAAAAACAGAGGCAAAGAAGGGAAAAGGCAGAGTACCTGTTGCAGGACAGTGCGGCTTCGTTGCGCGACGCTGCGGGCCGTGGGCGTCAGCGCGCGCGGCCGGGCCGGCGGCTCCGCGGGCAGCGCTCCCGCCGGGAAGGCTGCGGCCGGGCCGGGCGGGCGGAATCGCGGCCTGGGGCGTCCGGGGCGAGGGGCCTCGCGCTGCCGCTCTGCCTGGCGGGGGGACTAAACGTGCAAAAATTACCAGGCATCCTCTCTGCGAGCACCATCGGCATTCCTCACAACAGGCAAACGCAGGCAGAGCGCAACTCCTCCCTGGGTAAAGACTTCCAAGCACCAGCTCATGTAAAGAGAGCTTCCAAGTCTACAGAGCAGGCTGATGCTCTGATGATGTGGACATACAAGGAGCTGGCGCCAAACAGGGCTTTTCCAGCACCAAAACCAGCCTCTCGTGCTGCTGACTTCTTCCATTTGGCAAACCGCTTGGGAAGCGGGAATGCTAGGAATGCTCGTTATTTGATAAYAAGGGCTGTCCCCTGCTCCCCACACCCTGCTCGGGAGGCACAGGCCGCTGCTGCCTGCATCAATGAGGAGCCCAGGCACGTGCAAGCTCCGTGTGGAGGCTGCGTGGAGGCTGCCGCGGGCAAGCAGCAAGACACACGATGCTCCTAGCGCTCTCTAGGAAAGCAAACCAGCAAAACTCCTGCGTGGTGCGGGAAAAACACACTTGATAAAACATGGGAAGTGGTCTGCACTATTTATTAGTGAGCTGCTCTGCTTCACAACCACRGAAATGTATGTTGTGAAGGGCCTGAAGGACCCTCTGCCGCAGGGCTTCCCTGGCACTGCTCTCCCGCCCTGATCCCACACGTGTGCAGGCAGCCTGGGCACTACCTGCTCCTGTGCCGCTGCCAGCAAGGCTTCCTCTCTGCTGCCACCTAAACGTGCAGCCTAGCGAGGAGATCACCCTGCCCAGCAGCACCTGCCGCACTGACACCCCCTCTCAGTGACCCCCCCGCGCCTGCATGGGGGTCGGATTCTCTGGGAACGCCCCAGCTGCTGCTCCCGAAACGCTGCTTTCCTAGGAAGCCGCCAGCCGACGTGGGCGGCGCTGCCCAGCGCAGCTCCCCGCACGCCTGCACGCTCCTGGACGCGTGCAAGGCAGCGGCCAGCACGAGCCTCTGCTACACACARCTCATGTGCCAGAGACACCGAGCTGCACGGGTCTAACCGTGAAAACAGAGGAAACATTGACGCTGGAAAGAGCAAGGATTTCTTCCCTTTTTCCCCTCAGCTTTATGCCTAGCCCCCTTGGAGTCATATCAGCAACTGAAGTAACAGGTTGTGACTAACTCAAATCTAACTTKAATTTTGCTTTGGACTTAATATCTGCATTGCATTTTGGAAATCACTGACAGCCAGAACGACAGGCATTCCCGGAGCTGCATCTCTGAATTCCTACATACGGGGCAGAATGCCACCAAGGAGCCTGAATCCCGACTCGGCTGCACGTCGGGGGCTCAGCGGGTAGTGTGTGGGGCAGATGGAGGGCGCTGGGTGCTGGAGTGCCCAGGGAGGTCCCCTGTCCCCTCCCTGCGCGAGGGGCCAGGGTCACAGGGTGTTGGTGCCACCTCCCTCTGCGGATGCGTTGCCCATGTCCCCACGAATTCCCAGTTCTACGCTGCTACAGTCATCTCCCCAGGCTACGCCCRGTGAAGGTGCCACAGGGAAGACACGCATCTCCACGGATGACGTGCCAGGTCCTTGCTGGCAGTTAATTGTCTCCATTTCCTTGACCCTTCCTTTCCCCCCGTTTCACAGCTCTGCAGTGCTGGGTGACAGGCCCATTCGGGCTGACCTTGGCCAGCTGCAGTGTGCAGCACACCAGCCAAAAGCGAGGATCCCAACCCAGGACCCTACAGCAAACTGCCCCTGCGTATCCCCGCAGAACTACAACCTTATTTACTTAGGCTGCAGGAGGACTGTCTTGGGGCATCACCTCCTAAAACCTCTGTGCATCACCTCGGCAGTATCAGCTGCAATTAACCTAAGATTAATTACCCATAATATTAATGACAAAACTAAAACACGGTCCCAGTCTTTAGTATTTCTCCTCATTGTACCTAAACCGATGCTTGAGAATAGATTTTTGGAAAGAAAGCATTTTTAGCAAGGGTTTGTGAGTATCAGTGTGCCGTGCCCTGTGCTGATAAAAGCGACTGGCAAATATGGAAACGCACAGAGGGACGTGCTGTGCAATACGTCCAGAGGGACGTGCGGTGCCATACGTCCAGCACAGAAGCACGGGAGCTGCAGGGAGGCCAGATGTTTGGGCCCAGGTTTCCAGCCATTCCAGCCCAGGTCACCCTCCGGGCCCCTGGTGCAGGGGGCATCTGCACATTCCGAGCCCTCCCTCCGCTAGGAATCTGCTGAACAGCCTCTAACTTCTTGCCGGGGATTACAGTAAGGGAGTTTTACARCTATAATGCATGACAGGTAGCTACAGGCTTTCAGTACCACCACTGAGTCAATGAACCTTTCCCCAGTAATTCTACACATTGCAGCAAATGTGGTTATTTCATTGACTTGAAACCCTAACATACAAATTTAAATTTTATGTTAGGCAAACAAGCTATKTGTATATCTACTAACTAGAAAGAATCAGGTATCTTCTTTTAAAAACAGAGCATGGTCTGCATGCAACTTTTTGTTGGGGTTAACAGTCACAGAGCAGGTCACAGCTGAACTCTGCTCATACTGACTAAGGTGAGTTATCTCGATCTCCTTTTTTATATGGAATATATGCAATAACATAAATAAAAAACATATTTGGAAAATCATATTTTTAACAAATATGTTAAAAAACATATTTGACATCAAGCATAAAAAGCAAAGGCAGGAATTTATCAATTTTTATGGAAGGCAAATATTTTTTACTAAATGCTCCTTCCAATGGCATGGACTTGTACTGCATCAAAGGGCAGAATTGTAATGCAATGGTTATATTATATATGAACGKAGCCAAAAATGTAATTCAATCCTCTTGATATATTCTACAGTGATTGCATTGACTACAAAGAAAAAAAAACTGAGCAAGCACAAACTCAACCTGCTTGAGCCTGAAATGATGCGACAGAAAGGGTAAAGTTAGACGAAAAGGAAAAAAAACGGTCTCATGCTTGCAGTTTTTTGTATGGATTAGCCTTTTGTTTAGTTCTATCGCTCTGTTTTTTGAGTATTTGGGTGGCAACAGCTGCCACAAAGTAGCCTGCGCTCGACTGAGATATKACCCCCTTTCTCTTAGTTCTCATGGCATTTGCTGTGCTGCTGCGGGCAGCCCGGGCTGCCGCGACCYTCGGGCCGCTCGCTCTGCGCAGCTGGAACTGGGTACCCAGAGCAGCTCATCTCCTATCAGGTGCTGTTCCCTGCACCAGGGCCACTGTAGCCTGCTCAGCATCCACACCAGCTGCTAGTGTTGCCAAACAAAAAGCTGTGGTTTAATTTTGATTGTTAAGAATGAGAATGATTCTGGATTAGGTTTATTAATCCTTCAAACGAAGGAAATAGGAACTCAGAGAGGGTGGGAGAAGCAGCCACGTGAGCGGCAGTGCCCTGCACGGGACACAGTGACTGTCTGCAAGGACCTCCCCAAACCGCAGCCTTAGTCCCACGCTGCGATGGGATGGAATAAGGCTGGATCCCGTAGGAGTGGTAAAAGTTAAGTCCGTTCCYGAGTCAAACACATTTTCATCATCCTGCCCTGGGGGCGAAAAGCCCCTTTCTGCCCCGGGGCCACCACTCGTTTTTGGGCCACTCCAGTGATTTGAGGCTTTGTAGAACACGCCAGCGAGCCGCTGGAGGCAGCGGTTCTGGACACGCAGGCTCAACCCCATTACCGGGGCATAAACGCCGGGCCTGGTTCAGCCGCAGGGCACCCCACTTGTCACGAGGACAGCCTCGGCTCTGCCCGGGAAAGGAAGGGAGGGCAGCCTCATGTAGCTACGCAGGGAGACGCGCTGCCTCCAGACAAGGACAGCTCCTGTACCCCGGGATGTGCTTCCCCTTGGGAAGCGCTCGCCCTGCGCACCACAGCGGGGCTGCCTCCAGCCAGCGCYGGGCCCCAGGGAGCAGGAACACCCCGAGCCTCCTCAGAGCCCCCTGTGCTCTGCAGAACCACCTAACCCGGCGCTGGGAGCAGCAGCAGCCCTGCCTCCCACCACGGAAGCTAAGGATGGGAAGCTGGGAGGGGTCCCGAGACGGCTTCCCGGGAAAGAAATCTAAAAAAATCCCAAGCTTTCCCTGACTCCGTTCTTTGAAGGATGTAAAAGGACCTTTTTTTGCCATTTCTAGCCAAGGTAATCACRAAAGGCTTCCCTTTGCTCATCCCCTGTCCTACCTGTAATTTTTCCGTAAAGCCTTGCTGTACACTGCTGCCACGAGAGTTGGCTCTCTCTTTATCTGCCTGTTGCAAACAATCATGGGATGTGCAGGACTGGAAATCTCTCAACTTCATTATGTCTCTTAGACAGGTTTGAAACCATCACATCCATTTGTGAAAGCTTTTTTCAGTTTTTATGAAGACTACAGAAGCTATCAGAGCTAAGCAAATAATCCACTGCAAGTAACTTATTCAATTTATTTCATTTCAACTTCATTTAAGATTTTTGTACAGATTTTGTTACAGTCATTGATTTGAGCAGTTAGGTGGCAGTTCTGGAGCGATCACAGGAATACAGGACATACTGCGAGATCAGGTTTGACCGGGTATATACTGTCACCAATCTTATTTTCTAGGCAATAAAAGCATACATTTCAATGCATGTAAAGTGTCATTAGAAAACACTTGGGTAAAATGTTCAAAGATACGCATTTCAGGAAGATGTTCTAATACGTGCTTTAAATTTCAAAAAATATATTGCCTGGAAGATTGAGTTTAACAGGTTACTTGCAAAAAATGAACATGGAAGGAACTCAAATATTCACAGGCAGATAATATCTTACTTTACTGAACAAAGTACAAAGAAAAGAGAGATGAGTTTGCTCAGCTCTGATATCTCAATTGCAGCATTAAGGGTAGGTCAGACTTTGGCCTTCTCTACACCAAAGGTTGTACCACAGCTATCGGACACGTGTTCTCTGATAGTAGAGCACAATCTTAGTTAATGAGTGTTATTACCTACTTAAACTAGTAGCCAGGGCTCAGCTACCACGGTGTTCTCGATGCCTTCTGCTTACCTCACGGGCAAGGTGCGGTCTCCTTTCCTCCTGTCCATCTCTCTCTGGGGAACGGGATACCAGCGGAAGTTTAGTTTCCAGTTAAAGCCTCCATAGGTCATGTCGGACCCAGCCATGTATTCAAACGTGTCATCACTGATCACGTCAATGATGGGGCAGACAACAGTTTTCCTGTAACAAAAGATCAGCTCTTGAAATCCAAAAAGAAGAATAACCAACCAACCAAACAAAAAACATGTAATACACTAAATAACCCATTTTTTTTCCTGTCTAACTTCATTGCAAAATTAAAAAAAAACAGCGAGGCCATGCAGGATTCCCTTATCCCTGCTGTCAGTGGCTTTTGGGAACCTYGACTCCTTGCTGCTTTCCTAAGAGCTGCCAGCACCTCCCGTGGCTCCCACAACTGCAGCCCCATCTGGGGCTTCTCCACAAGGCCATGGTGCCCGTTCCCCCGGGATGGGGATGGGGACGGCGGCTGCTCCCGGCCGGGCCCGCAGCCCTCACCGCTCCTCGCGGATCCTGGCCAGCAGTGGCTCCAGCCAGCCCACCGTGCACTCGCAGTGCGCGTCCAGGAAGGTGATGACCTGGCCCCGGGAGGCCGCGGCACCCCGCAGCCGCGCGCGGATCAGCCCCGACCTCTGCTCCATCCGGATGATTTTTATCGGCACGTCCAAGGTCTTCACRTAGTTCTCCAGCGAGGCCTTCAGAAAATCTGCCAGAGACAATCAGGAAATCAGAACAACAGAGGAAAAGACACCTACATTGAGCAGCTAAGGAGGATTCCAAATATAACGGCACAGTCTACGTGTCATGCAAGTTGCTCTGCAGATTGCTCCTSCAAACCCCAGCAGGGTGATGCACCAGCAAACTAAAGGCTGCAGCCCCATGCAAAAACCAGACGAGGCCGTGAGGACACAYCTGCAGCCCTGTGACCGTGAGCACAGCGACACGGGGCTGCAGGGCCASCCGGAGCCGGCACGCGCAGGCACGTGCCCGCACACTGCATGGGAACGGATTTTCAACAGAGCACCACCAGCAACCGACACTGAGTGCAAAATGATGACACTCCTGCTAACTTGTTAATGGCTGATTACAAATACGGCTGTTTCTGATGAATTTCACTATTTGAGCACTTAAGATTCCTATATTCTATGCAGGGAAAGCATGGAAATGCAGGAGGGTAAGTAGGACACTCCTGCTACACGGAGCAGATCAGGGATGGCTTAACCTGCATCCTGTCTATAGGACTGAGGCACGAGTGGACCAGCCCTGTGGTGTGCGAGCGCTGGGCAGCATGGAAGGTAGATCTGCACTTGGAAATACGTTGTGGGACTCCTCAGTGCTACAGAAAAGCAGTCACCCAGCGCTGTATTAAGCACTGCAGAGATTTTCCTCTCCTCTTCCAAGCTATTTTTTTGTAATTTACCAAAATCTGTAACTTAATAAGAAGAAATACAAAACTAATTCCAAATCAGCACAGAGGATGAAACTACTGCATTTTTTTTTTAAATTGAGTAAGTGCAAATATGTTGTATTTGCCATTAAAAAAAAAAGAGTGGTATTTGAAACACCGGGCTACTCCAGGCCAACTTGTTTCTTATCTCATCAATTCCATTTCCAGGCCGCGGTGCAATTTCGAAGSGCCGCCGGCGGCTCCCTGCTGGTGTCACTGGGGCGGGCGCCGGGGCGGCTGCGGACGCACCCCGCTCGCTGGCGTCGTCCACCAGGATGATTTCGGCGAGCAGGCGGCGGGGCGAGCGGTTGATGACGCTGTAAATGGTGCGAAGCAGAGTGCTCCACGCCTCGTTGTGGAACACGATCACCACGCTCGTGTTGGGGAGGTCGTCGGCGTACACCTTCGTCTTGCACCTGCCCCGGGGCAAAGAAAGAGAAAAAAGACAGAGCCTTGAAGAAAACCTATGAAAGGAGCATCCAGAGGAAAACGGCCTTTAGACTGGCCACAGAGGATATACTGCAATGGATTCTGCATCTCTTGAGGCTCCCAAAATAAAAGCCTGAGAGGCAGGGGGAATTCTAAACGCATTGCAAAACCTGCAGAGGATTGTGCAACACTGCACGAAGCCTCGCGCATGACTAGCAGGACACCAAGACAGCAGTACTCAACAGCTTCAGTCTAATCATTCCCAGAATGTATCCCAGATAGAAAACCCTTAGTCGCATACAAAAAATAGTGCAGTTTATATACATATATATATCTCATATAAGGCAGTAACCATGTAGTTCACTAAGTCTGTTAAATGTGACASATCCCCAGTGTTCTGAAACAACAGCCTCCCGTCTGTGGCCATTTCTCAAAAMCAAAGGAAACCATGAACGTGGAGAACTCCCTGTCTGGCTTGCCCATGCACTGGAGGCAAGAGAGGAGAATCGTTCCACCTATGCCTTATTTTCCACTTTTTCAGGACAAAGGGAACAGCAGAGAGCCAACACTGCTCATTTTGTGAAAGCCAATTAAGTTATTTGCCTAGTTCGAATAACAACGGAGCACAACGCGCACATGGAGCAGAGCTCATCCTGCCCTGCTCACCAGATCCTTGCAATCAAGGAAAACCCCGTCTGCTCCTCAGGGCCACGGCTCCAGGCGGCTCCGTGAGGCCGAGGCTGCCCACAGCCGTGTGGCTGCTTCATGAATGTGCAGAAGGTTTTAAACAGCTGTTTAGACGTGAGAATTCACATTTCCCGCGATGGGCAGAGCGAGACTCTGCCCGTTTGCTGTCCTGCCCCTTGGCGGGGTGCGGATCCCGGSAACGCCAGGGGCTGTCCTGCCCTTCCATCCCTTTCGGGGATCCCTTTTGGCGCTCGCGGTGCAGCAACCGCGCACCAAAGGCTGCACGCAAAGGAAAGCAAAACACCTGGAGTGAAAAACGAGAATAAATATTATATGCTATTTATTATTCGCTGCTCTTCGATACGATGCATTTGGGAACACCTACAAATGTGTAAAATAGTTTATCTGACTTGGGGGATTTTCATGATTATTCAGTCATTACTTTTATTGCTTTATGTTTGTGAAAAGAACGATAAAACAATGAGAGCAAAGACTTGCAATACTGATGACCTGTGTGCAAGCAGAGCTTGCACAGTGAATTAGATTTTTGGCCTTCTGAAAAATCTGGAAACTTTGTTATTTGTAACTGTCAACATTTACATTAGGACTGACATTCCCTTCTGCACCTTCAACAAAAYAATGATCAAAGAGATCACTTTGCACCTGCATATAAAATATTAAGCACCATTCTAGAACAAATCTCTCCCTCTATTGTTCCATATTTTCCTAGTCACCAGCTTTGGAAAGGACAAACTGCAGAATCAGCCTGCAGAAAGTCACTGTCACAGAATTCCAGAATGGCTGGGGTTGGCAGGGATCCCTAGGGATCCCCCAGCGCAGCCCCTGCTCCAGCAGGGACACCCAGAGCACGGGGCACCCGCTCACATCCAGGCGGGTTGGGGAGATCTGCAGAGCAGGAGCCTCCGCAGCCTCCCTGGGCAGCCTGGGCCGGGGCTCCGAGCATCCTGTGCTGMCTCCCAACGCCGACTCGTCGGCACAGGGCTCAGTGCAGGAAGCCTGGGCGCCTCTCCGGGCAGACGGGGGCAGCTCGGTGGGCAGAACTGCATGGCTGGGCCCCGAGGAGCTGCCCTTGAGCCGCCTTCGTCCCGCGGCACCAACCGGCACCGGGGGCAGCTCAATCCCAGAGCAACCCCGGGCGGCCGCTGCTCCCGTTCCTGCGCTCCGGCTGCTCCCGCAGCTCCCTGGGCACAACCCGGGCACAAAGCAGCAGCAAAACAGCAGAAAGACTCACCCAAACTTTAACCATAACGAGCACTAGAACAGACTGCTCAAAGTGGAAGACTCAGCAGCAATGGATTCTCCCAGTGGCAGCAGGATCCCTGCAAAGCTGCCCGGGAAAACCAGCAGTGCTGCCGCTACACGCACCACCACCAACCAGGACTGRAGTTCAATCAAAGCGTTTGCTCGCCCCTATACAGCCGTGGTACCTTCCCGCAAACCCGCTCTCCTGCCATGCTTGCATCACCGTAACTCAGCATCGCTTCCAGCTATGAACACTGACTTTAAATTTAGAATACATAAAAGGCCAAAGATAGAAAAACAACGCTTATCGTAAGCATATGCAAGTGTAACAACACTTACATATACTAAGGCAACTAATATATACATATGCTATTATACCTACATATATATGCATATATGCACAGACATAACATACACTAAACATTTAAATGTATTCCTATTTGGGAAAAATCTCTCCGATGACAATCCCTATGAAAGCTTTCTCAAGTGAGCTCAGGAAACCCAGAATACGGCTGCTTTTAAATGTTGGTATTTTCAACTCAGTGCTCTCCAGCCCCAGGAGGAYGGAAGGGAAGCAGCTGGATGTGGCTGGCGATGGAGGAGGCGGTCAGAAAAGGGCCCAGGGATCCTCTTGGAAGCTTAATCCCCCCTCCTCGTCCCAGAACCTCCCCAAGGAACAACAGACAGGGCAAGACATGTCCTGGGAAAGACAGAAAGCTGCTTGTCAATAGGGGCTGCTTAAACCTGGTAGGCTAAAGGCTCCCGAGCAATCTCAACACAGACTCGGCTGCATTCCTATGGAAAATCACATTTGCAGAAGGTCCCCACGCCACAGCTCCCCCTCCACAACTGCTAGCTTGCCACATCCTGGTCACTTCTCACTGTGTTGGGCTTTTTTTCCTACGATTTGCTCTTGGGAATACAAGTTAGCTGCCTGCAGGAGGCAATAGCCTCCATCYAAGCACGCGATCCCACTGCTTGACCACCACTGCTTTCTCCCGTGTWGTCTCCATAAAAATTGGTAAAAAATCACTATAATGGAGTGTATTGTACAACACCACGAGTGGAAGAAAAGTCTGTGTGACCATCTGCATTCCCAGCCAGGAAAGAGACGTGGGGACTTCAGCCTGACCAGGAGCGTGTCCCTGTTCCGTGGCCTCGCCACAGCTGCTGCTGCAGCTCACACAGCTTTAAAGCCTTCTTAAATCAATTCACACATGACTTAAATTGCGCCACTTCACGTTTCAGACTGGAATTTATGCAGATGAAAGGTAAATGGGAAATAATAGAGCAGGAATTTATTTCACTTAGTGGAAASTGGATTTGTAAAGGAACTGCATCTGCACTGTCTTATTGAATTTTATTGCATCAAAATACTCCAAAGCTAATCAATTTTTATATCCAGCTGATGATGGATGCGAAAATATGTCGGGAAAATTGCTGTCTGGTGTTTCATTACCAAGTCTAAACGGGTCTGCAGCTTGCAAGAACAAAGCCCCTGTGCGCGCACCTGGAGCCCTCGCTGCCCACAGAGCTGCGCGTGCAGCCCTGAATGCAACACCTGCCAGSGCACGGATTTAAACCCTAAACACTGCTTTAATGCCCTACAAGGTACTTCGGAATTCGTTTACTAAAACCTCAAAGTCCTTTCATGTTTGAGGAAGAACAGGGTAACACAGAAGAAGTATTATTAAAAGCAAACACCCGAGGACTGTATTGCAGGCCCCTTCCCACCTTCTTCACGTCAAAAAAAATATATATATATGCATATATATAAAGAGCAATCCAAGAACTGCAATTCCCAAGTCTTTCAGCATCAGGCTAGGGAGATTTTTACCTTATCCTTAAGTGGAAGCATTACCATACCTGCATATAATGAGGTTCGAAACGCTGGCAGCTACTGTTAGCAGCTGGAAGCRGGGCAAATCTGGAATGGAAATCACCCCTCATCAGACAAGACTTTTAAAGATGGCTTTGGGGAGTTAATTTTGCTCCATTTGCACTGCTACTGGTGGTGCTGTCATTTCTGAATTTTCTTTGAAACTCATCAAATTATTCTCAAGCTTCCTCTGAATGTTACCGTGCTTTTCAAAGTGTTTCAGAGCGCTGCAGTTGACCTCCCAGRGCCCTCAACTCCTACCCGCAATAAAGGAAGCAAGAACAAGGAAATCAGGCAATATGGGACAGCCAGGAAGCACTTGGATCTACAACGCGGATCTACTAGATATAATCCTTCACTTTTAATAACATGTGTTTTCCCAAGGGGAAAATAAGGAATAAATTCCACACGAGGAATAAATATCTAACAGTTTAGCTCAGCAGTGTTACACAGCTCTCAAGTTTTTTCGTTTCTTTCTGATCCAGCTTTAGATCAATTCTTCACAAGAAGAGTGGTCCTTAGGTCATTCTTCACACTTTGCAGAGAGATTTATTTCTGCTTCTCTGGCGTTTCTGCAGTCCAACCTCTTTGCACATCCACTGCTCCATGGACAAATCTACAGCGTCCCCCTTGCTCCTGCCAGGCAGCTCCAGGAGAGCAAGCGCTGCTGAAACATTCATTGCAATTATTTCTGTATTATTGCTGAAGCCAGAACATTCAAGCGTATCAATCTGCAGAAATCAATGTCACTACTAGGTATCAAGGACTAGGTTAACAGCCAGCAGCTCTTACCCACTCTGCAGCTGAAATCCTTCCAGTCTAGCAGCATTTCTGTCCCTTCATTGCTCCTCCATCCGCACAGACATCTCATTCATTTTCAGATTAACACCAGTAAGTGAAGCTGCTTCAAATGAAATCATTTGTTCAAAGATACCCCTGACACGTACTCACATTGTCTTCTCTTCTTCCACAAGTTCCTTGGCAAACGGTCCCTGATCGGAAACGCTGCCCTTCTCTCTGTGGCCAAGCACGTGCAGGTGGATTCCCATGGCCAGATGGAGTATTTTTATCTATATTTTTATCTAGTATTTTTATCTATAACTTGCTCATTCCTCATTAAAAATAAAGGTGCCTGCTGCCCCTGAGAAGTGGTTTGAGGAGCAGCGTTTTTGCTGGAGGGGAGCAGCATGATGTGAAGCTACCTCTGTGGGGCCGACCCATGGAGACTTCTCCCTGCTTCAGCAGCAGGGAGAACTGAGAGCTCCGTAATTAGGAAGTGAGCTAACGAGGGTGCCGGCTAATAGAGGAAGGGCTATAATCACTTTTGGAGCTGCTGCTTCTGGAAGCTTTTTGCTTCTGGAACCTTTTGGAGGTTGGACCTCCAAAAGCCAGCGCAAAACCACAGAGCTCAGCTTAAGCCACGATTCTAACTCAGAAAAGGGGGGTGCTGGGCAAAACTCATTTAAAAGGTGCTCCCTTATGCTTCCTGGAAGCAAAGAGCATACAAATTCCTTGCATATTGCCTAGTACATATATTTTATTTAGTGGAGTCAGTCTAATGAGCAGAGATAATTTATTTATAAACAGCTCTCATCTTTAGCAGTACCTCATTTTTAATAAATGCCTTCTTTCATTATAGAAGCTTTGCTAATATCCCTATACTTGCTATAATCAGTAGCAACAGCATTTCTGTTATACCGTGCTGTGATGTCTGCAATTGAGAGCCCCTGTGAATGTGAAACACGTCACAAACCRAGGCAGCAAATTCCCACCAACCTTGCTGTGAAGTCTCTTTTTAAGACACGCCAAAAATACAGGACCTGCCGAGTGAGCTACACCAAAGTGTGTACTGAAAAACCTCCTCATGACAGCAGTCAAAGAGCAATATAGGGGCTGCTGCAGAGAGCAGAAAGAAACCCACAAACACCCAGTCATAAAAACCTCGCAAACTGCAAGTTTTTGACTGCAAACTGAAGGTATTTTGTACTGGAATTCTCTTTCCAGATTTACAAATCGGTTCTGAATCAGAACACCAGCTGAGCATTTCCAGCTCTTCCAGCAAGCACACCGAACCAAATTAAAGAATTAAAAATGAGGGATGAAAAATTAATATTCAGAAAATCACTGTCAATTTAAGCTAAAAAGTAGCACCCTTCTACTCACCAGCTTTTAAAAAATAGGTCCTGAATGAAACAGCAAGTAACTTGCAGAAAGAGTTTCTCTACCACAGATTTTTTGAGATGTGATGTTCTTCCAAAAATCACAGAAAYGGTTTAGTCTTTTTTCCTGCTCTGTCCCAGAGACTCCGAGCGCTCTTACATAATTTTACTTGGAGGCAACACAGATGTATGACAAATTTAAGCACTCCCTCCCCCACTTATAGATAAACTTCCTTATAGATTTAACTTTGGAAACTCATGTTGAAGGAAAATTTTAGGGGCAGCTTTTTGTAATCGGGGCAAAAAGACTTTATATTCTTTATTTGTATGCTCAGAAAACATTATTATTTATTATGAATATATACTGAAATAACGTATTTCCATTCTACTCCCAGTGGAGGACACGCACAACCACGCGGCTAAATCAAACCTGCCTTTAAGTGGGAAGAGAATCTGATTCTGATGGACTAAGCAATTTGCAGAATACAACCTTATTCGCCCATGGAAGGCTGAAGGAGGATTTCCTTCCTTGCTGGAGAAAACACTTAAGAGATAAAATTAAACATTCCTATGTTGAATTAAACTGTTTCACAGTTTGAAAAATAGGTACTTCAGATTAGAGGTTAAAATCTGGAAGACAGCAAGCAGCAATGGAAACCAGCGYGCTGCAGGGATGCGATATCCTTGGGTAGCTATTGCAGACCACAGCGCGATGCCAGCCGTGGTGTTACAGCAACAGTCCCACGGGTCACCTGGGATTATAATGTCAACACAGGAAGAGAAATCCCCTGGAATTCACTCCATTGTTTCCTTAGAGCACCAAAGCGGCATGTTTCCTGATCCTCAATGAGATCTCATCCCTAGAGGAGCAAAACGCTCGCAGCCATCCCCGCGGTGAGGGCCTCGCACCAAGGCTGCTCACACACCTCCTGCCTTGCCAGAAGGAGATGGGGGATTTATTTCTTATTTCTGGAGATTGTGAGGATGAATCTTTCACTAGACATTCACCTCAGAGTTACCTGTCTTCTTGCAGTGGCTAAAACTAGGTCAGACTTTCCTAGAAATCATATTTCTTCAGGAAAAGAAACCTCCTTCTCCCTATAGGTATTGGTTGCTGTTCAAACCCGACATCAGCTCGGTCRTCAATCGCTGACAGGGTGGGAACGCTGCAGGAGCCGCAGAGCAGCCCACACAGGGATGTGCACCGTCCCAGTGGAGCTGTGCAGACGGGAAYGACGCTGCTCAGAGGCGCTGCCCGCAGCTCTGCGCCGGGCCGCCCGGGCGGCCGCCGCTCCAGCCCCGTCTCACCTGAGTCCTTAATTGCTTGCCCAGGCAGCCAGAACGGAGCAGCAGCTTAATGGCACGGGATGTGCTTGCAGCAAGGGGAAAATGCCACTTACTGCACTCGGCGAAACGCTGACATGTGAGAGACACGATAAAAAGGGCAAGTCATGCCAAGAGTTCRTTAGTTTTGTGCGCACGTCCTTCACTCCTCTCCTGCTCTGACATCCCTAGGCAGATGSAGCGTGGCTCGCTCCTACCCCGCACACCTGCGGACACCTCCRTGACGGCACCAAGTGCCATGCAGGGTCCCACCACGGCTCCTGCTTCCCCTTGTCTGCATCCYGTAACCGGCTCGTTTTTTCCTTGCMYTCTTCCAGCCAAGTTTTGTCWCTGTGACCGCAAGGCCATGGCCACTGTGGTAACACATGAACACGCCGACCCTCCTCCTGGCCMATGTCACCATTACACAGGCTCCCATCAACATCCAGCAAGAGCATTTATTCCCTATTCACCTAACCTTGACACAACAACGCAGGTAATAAAGTGAAAGCTCACTCAAGAATGTTTTGGCAAGCGAAGAACACTTGCATTTGTAACACGCAAGGGTGGCAAGTTGGGCCCCGGGGAAATCAGAGCAWGCCTGCGTCTCTCCCTGTCAATAAAAACGTCTTCCCGCCATATGTTAAATATACGAACCGTGAAATCATATTCCTCCTTAGAAGTAAAGTATTATAAATTAGCATCCAGAACAATTTAATACTCCCCAAAGATAGAATATGTGCAGTAAGCATCTGTCTGAAGTGGAAAACATAAAATTAAAACATGCTTTTTTTTCTCCCMAATCCTAGTACACTTTCTGTCTTTTCAACAAAACGAGAAAATGGAATTTCTTTTCATTCAGGGAATGTATTTAGATAGATACTTTTCAGTATTAAACAGCTCATCTCTCTTAGCCCAAGTGCAGTAGTCCTTTAAGTTGAACATTTTACCCGTTTTTCCTCCTGCTCCGCACAGGGAGAGGAAGACTCTCCAGAAGAGGCCAARCAGGTTGCAAGTGTCAGTGTGTCCATGCTCGGGTCTGGTTCCTTTAGGGATGCAAGGACTGCATGGATGAGAGGCACCCAATGCCCGAGATGCACCAAAAGCACAGAAACTTAAGGAAAAATTTCTTGGCAGTGARGGTGCCAGGAACATCCTGGAACGGGCTGCCCAGAGAGGCTGTGAAGTCTCCTTCTCTGGAGATCTKCCCAATMCACCTGTGCCACGTGTTCCAGGTGACCCTGTGTGTGCAGTGGTTGGACTAGGTGATGTCTAGAGGTCCCTTCCAACCTCAACCATTCCGTGATGAGGCTGGTGGGAAGCACCAGCTCTGGTGGGAAGCGGGAGCCTCCAGGTGGGCAGGAGAGCTCAGCAGAGGCACCACCAAGCCACAAACGCCCCAGCCCCACTGCCCGTGCAGCCTGCGAACCAGCTGTGCACTCAGACTGCTGCTGCTTCTCCTATCTGCATGTATTCACAAATAAAATCCTGAGTATTTATTTCACATTCCACTGGAAGCTGAAGAATTTAATTTCCAGAATAACAAAATAAACAAGATTTCAGCTAAGTGACATTCAGCTTAAAGAGCAAACATAATAGCAGAGCTTAGAAAACCTGTTTATATTTAGCTATGTTTATATTTCTCTAACGTTACATTGTGTTGATATAAACTACATTAACTATAATTCAGCAGCAGGACAAAACATTACGCCTAAGGTGGCATATTTTAAAATGAGATGAAGTTTACAGAATTTTTAGTGATTTATGGCCATAGCTATAATGATTTATATGCCTTAGTTTTCATAAATCCTGAAAATGCTCATGTGAATAAATCAATTCCAGAGCATATATTAAAGATTTCAAAAAGTCTGTCATTAAATTATTCATATTGCCAGCTTGAGCCAATCAGTTTGAATAATCAGTGTTAAGGCAGAGCTGAGAGAGCAGGGAAGGGGAGAGGAGCCCAAGCGATCTCTGCAGAGGCAGACACAGCCTGTGCTGCTCGGAGCAGGTTCCYCATCCCCTCGGAGAGCAGCTTCTTTGCAGGGTCTCAGATCTTCACTCCTGCGCAATTATCATCACCCTGGATGGGCTGATGCTCAGTTATCATCACCAATGCAGCACTCGGTTCAGGCTCATGTGCACAGATTTAACAGATAAACAAAGCATGCATTTCCAAATACCTTTTTTGGGTGGTCGCCACTGACAGCAGTGGCCACCGTGTACCCACGGGAGGCCGCTGCCGTGGGCAGGACGGACCCTGCGCGCGCCGGCCACCGCGGCCACTCACCCRTCCAGGCGCACGTCGGGCAGGCTCCGGTTGAGGGCAATCATGTCGCTCGCCATCAGATTGAACTGGTTGATTTTGAAGAGCTCTTTCATTTTCTCCTGGTCGTCCTTGGGAATGAGGACGGCCTTGCCCATCTCGCCAGGCCCTTCTGGGTTGCGAGAAATGACTGCTGTAACACAAGAGAGCAGAGAGGCTGATTGTAACACGCGAGCCCCGGCATCACCACGGGGCTCCTGCAGGCTGGCACTGCATCACCAAGAACACTTCATGAAAATGTGACACAACCCAGTTTTATGTACGCTCCAGTGCGAGGTTTCATCTCACACTAGATCTGAACATACCTTCTTGCCTTCTAACATTATTGAGAAAAAAAAATGCTTTTCCACTCTTAGGTTTAGATTGTATCTCCAAACAGACAATATATTCTTCTTATTATTCTCGTGGTATTTACGCCAGGTTTGCAAAGCACAGTATGAGATTTTTACAAACAGAAAAGGTTTGGAAAACACTTATGTAACTATTGAGATAATCTAGAGCACTCGTAAATAGCCTTTCTATCTGACTTCCTTTATTTCTAATTTACTCTTCACTGCCAGGCATGTGATATTATAATTCCATCTATAAGAGAAAGGTTCTTCAGGCTATAGTGAAAAGAAAAAAAATCCTGAAAAAATATAGTATTTTTAATAAGGAAAGGAAATAAGGAAATAAAAACTTTTTGTCACTGTGCTGGAAGAAATCAAGTGACTTTTTACAGAGAAAAGCATGGCTTCTCTAGGAAAAGGAGGAGAGAGGCACAGCTGCCTCTCGGCAGCAACTCGGCAGCGGTTCTTCTTTACCCACATAATGTTGGGAACTTTGTATCCTGCACGATATATGCATACCACTATTATATATATAGTATATGCTATTAAATACCTCTTGGTGCTTTCGGAGCATTCATAAGGATATTTATGCAACGCACAACATGCACATAAAGTATTCAGACTAATGTCTGGTAATTAAACCCTGCTATATYCATCCTCACACTGCAAAATGATGAGCCTCCTTAAACACTGTAATTCAGAGTCAGTCCCTGAGGCTGCACGTTTTGCTGAGGGAAATAAATGGGGCTCCCMTCCCTCTGGCCACGGGGGATCTCCACAGCGGGGGCTCTGCCCTGGCCCGGCGCGCGCCCTCTCCGAGGGAGCTGCTGTGCTCACGCTGCACCAAGGCGCCTCTRCGAGTCTCGGGCTTCAGTCCATTTAACAGTTGCAGGCACCGGGGAAGAGCCACTCGGCATTTACCAGGGCAGACTTCAACTATTTCAGAAATGTGCCTTTTAAAAAGCCTATGAAAAGCAGCTTTGCCTGCAAGCCCAAGAACTACGAGCCCGTGTCTCTGACRGCAGGCAGGGGTCCGGGCCTGCCCGCGCCGCAGGAACCACTGCCCTCCCAGCTCCCTGTCCGCGCGCGTTGCTCATCAGCCATTGGAGCAGGGAGCCCTCCTTCGGAACCAAAACCACCCCTCACCRGGGCTTATCGGAGACCCTGGGTTGAGCACACAAAGGAATTGACAGAATTCAGGGTAAAGATAGGGCAGAAAGAGGCAGGGGCTTTGCAAACACTCAATTCATTCAACAATTTCAGGAAGCTTTGGAGAGGGACTGTCTAATGAGTGAACATGGCAACGCTTGCAAGATCCGGGGCCTCGGGCCTGCCTTTATCCATTTATTTTTACTGAAAAAGCCCCAGGCCCCTCTCTCCGGCCACAGCTCCTGTGCACAGCAGCAGCAGTGATGCTGACGAGCACAAACCAAGGATTTGGGGGCTCTCCTGAAAGCACCCTGGGACAAGAAGAGTTCCCACACGCTGCACACGGCCTGTGCCACATGGGTTCGGCAGGTACAGACTACAGCAGCGATCAGTACTTACTTCATTAAAAAAAACAAAGGCAATCCCGTGGCATCCCATTTCCCAAGGTGTCTGCTCGGTAAGTTATTAACATCTTCTCCACACGTTACGAACGCGCTGAGTTTCCAGAGGGAGGCCAGCTCCTCGGAAGGCGCACAGCGCCGGCCTCGACGCCCCAYGCGCGGCGCCTGCTCCGCTCTCCCCTGCAGGTCTCCGCTCTCCCCTTCGCGGCCGCACGGTGCAGGTGGGTTCCCGGGCCACGGCGAGCGGCTCTGTGGCCCAACGTGGCCGGAACCCAGCAGGAAGGGAGCCCAGGGCTGCCCCATGCCGGGCACGGCCGCGGCTGCTGCAGGAGCAGCGGCACGGGACAACGCACCCTAGGGCAACGTGACCCAAAAGGGCTCGTTTCGCCCTGCCACAGCCCCGCGGTCCTGCCCCCCGGCACAGACAGCCCATTAACTAAAAACCAGCAGCAGTTTATTCCTCCACATCGAGCTCACCTATACCAACACCATCTTACTGCACCACTTTATTGCCTAAGTCRCAGATATCCAATATTACTAGGAAAACTGCAAGTTTTCAATAGCAATGGGGAACCTGCCCGCAAATGGGAAAGAGCACTAGGGAATTTTAAAAAGAAAAGTCGCGGCTGCGTTGAGCAATCCCCTGTTCCCTAGTGCTGGAGAACAGTGAGGAGAGGAAACGGGCACTTTAGCTGGAAACACAGCATCACTCCCTGGCTATAAGCAGGGCACAGCGGCAGCYGGAGAGCTTCATCCCCCCTTAGGGATCAACGGGACACTCCTGCTCCATCTCCATCTGGAATATAAGAATCTCCGTGTAATCCTGATATGATACCCCAAAAATATGATACTAATCCATCTCCATAAGCTCCATATGGAATGCAATAAGCTAAGGGAGCAAAGCATGGACCTTGTTTGCATGATACTCCTCTCGCCACTCATAGCTATTGTGTAGGCTCATCTTCATCCAGGACACACAGAATTCCAGTTCTAATCTCACCACAGACAAAAAATCCCACAAAATTGTTACAATCACTGGACAGGCCATTTACAGTATTCTTCCCATTATCCCCATAAGCAGGCTCCATCCCTGGGGGCTGCAGTTCAGCTCCACGGCTGCTCTTACCCTTTCGGCYGTGATGGTCCCTGCAGCCCCGACAGACACCAGGCTGCACAGGGAAACAGTTCCAAGAGGATAGAAATAAATCCCATCAGGAGCCGTACCCTTCCCAGCGCCCGCTGCGGCCTGGCCACCCAACACACAGCATCGCTCCTGAATCGGGGCTGAAAAGCTCTGGAAAGAAACCGTGTCTCCAGGTACTGCTTTAATTTTCTGATATGATCTATTTCAAGACAAACTAGGGGATGATGAGGTGCGAAAAGCCTCATACGTGGTAATTAGCAAACTGTGGAAAATCCTTGCAGTGTGCTGCAAAACAGCGTTGCGGGAACCTCCTTAGCTCTATTACCGCAGCAGAAAGCAGGCAGTCTAAAGGCATCATTCCCAACAGCTCCGTCCAGCGACCCTGTGCAACCCGCTCCTCAGGCGGGCGCCCTTCCCACGCGGCAGCCGCCAGCTCCGACTCCGGCCCGTGCCGAGCAGGCGCCTCCCGCGGCTCCGCAGCCTCGCCGTTAAGGAACCCAAGCGGGCGCCTTTCAGGCTCCTTCTTTTAATAACCCCTCGTTATAATCGCAATGGCCAGCGCGACTACTGGGGTGGGGGGCAGTCATTAGCTGTTTTCAGGGGACAATTTTCATCAGATGTGCTGCAACGAGAAGATGCTCTTCAGACAAACCACAGACTTCTCTGCCACCTCTACTGCTCTTTATAAATGACTTCTGGACCCGCACACACAGCGAGCCATGAGCTACCTCGCTCAAAGTAATAAACGAGCAATCACCCAGYGCTGACGTATGGATGCATCAATATTAATCCACATGCAATGCAAATATCTTGCTCGTGCTTCCTGCTGAATAAGCAAGCGCCAGCGGAAAGCGGATGGACGCCGGCTCCAGCTCCCAAGCATTTGCAGAGACAAAACTAGCCCAAGTTTAAACACTCTGCTGGAAACAAGAGCCATGGCCTCAAAGGCTGTTAGGGCCCTCTCTGTGCTCTGGGAACGCTGCAAACCCCGTCCCTTAACCAGTAACCAGGCTGAGTGCCAGGCGAGTACCAAGGCACCTCTGATTTT